TCATATATGCTAACCTCCACTCTAAAGCAACCTCACCTTTTTCTGGATCTCTTCAGGATTATCAGGCAATCGTGGATGCTGAGTGGAACATTCTCTATGACAAGTTAGAGAAGATCCATCATTCCGGAGCCAAAGTTGTCCTGTCCAAACTCCCCATTGGGGACGTGGCCACCCAGTACTTTGCTGACAGGGACATGTTCTGTGCTGGCCGAGTGCAGGAGGAGGATCTGAGGAGAACGATGATGGTAACCCAACTTCCAAAGGCTGCTGCTGGGCCTTCACGGCCCAGAGGCGTTTTTATTTACCTTTGGTGTAGTTTACAGAGGAGACAGAGCGCTCCCTGCATGATGCCATCATGGTTGTTGGGTGGGCAGTCAAGGTGCTGGGCCGGTGGCTTCCTGCCTGCACTGTCAGGTTGGCATGTGAACCCAGGCCTGTCTTCACCCTCTTGGCCTGGAAGCACTCCAGTCCCAGTGTGCGTGGACTTAGATAAAAGGCTAGTCTAACCAAAATAAGTTAGGATATCTGATTGGTGAGGAACCTGGCAGTAATGCTATGATTAGCTGGATAAGTTCAAGTATTGATGCTTCCAGCCAAGTTTCCTTCCCTTTTTCTTGAGCGTCTCACGAAAGGCGCTTTCAGTCTAAAGCACTGATTCTGACTTCAGTTGCTGGGTCCAAAGCACCTTAGTTTGGGGGAGGGGGATTTGGGTGAAGCAAAGGTCCCCTGTCTTCTTTTAAGTAGGCCCTGTTTGCCCTTAGTTCCATTTCGTTTTCTCCTTTTGGAGGGGGTAAGCGTCGGCTGGAGTTCAAGGGTAAGAGCAGGGCATCCACTGCAGAGGGCTCTGGGCTCCATGGCAGAGTCCAACATGGGAATTGGCTGAGCCTGGTGGCAGGAAGCTTGCTGGCATGGTGTGAGCCCTCAGTGCTAGATGATCTTGCCTTCTTGTGCTCCTCAGGCCTGCGGAGGCTCCATCCAGACCAGTGTGAATGCGCTGTCAGCAGATGTGCTGGGCTGCTGCCAGGTCTTTGAGGAGACCCAGATTGGAGGCGAGAGGTGAGACGCAGGCCCAGGCTGCATCTTGGCTGAGCTCACAAGACTTGCCTGGGTCTGGCCTCCTGTCATCCTTTGGCTGTGGTATATAGTATGTGCTACTCTGTTTTGAGGTCTCACCTTTTGGGGCATAAAGAGCTCAGACAGAGTGTTTTGGGACAGAAGATCACATTGGGTCTGAAGCCTACAATCTTTTATGTCCCAGTGGTACAGCCCCAGACCTTCCCAAGAAAGTGTCTTTAAGGGTGGGATTGGAGAAGCTTAGTGAGGAGCAGAAGAGCAGCTGCTGAGAGTTGGGAGGAGTTGGTGAGATCAGAACATAGCAAGTTGGCAGCAGGCAGGATTTCACACATGATCTGACCCCGGATGTAGGTACAATTTCTTCACTGGCTGCCCCAAGGCTAAGACTTGCACCATCATCCTCCGCGGTGGTGCCGAGCAGTTTATGGAGGAGACAGAGCGGTCCCTGCACGACGCCATCATGATTGTCAGGCGGGCCATCAAGGTATGGGCTGGTGGCTTCCTGCCTGCACGGCCTGTTCCCTCTCCCGAGCTGATAAGCCCCTGGATTGGTGGGATGATTCCTTCCCTGGGTGGCATGCAGGCCCTTATCAGCCTCACGAATCATAGAGAAACAGCCTCATTCTCTCAGAATAGGTCGTGCTTGTTCTTGCTTGGTCTAAGACTTATTCTTGTGAGCAGACTGCAGCTGAGGTAGTCAGCCACCCGGGGATTGTGCCAGTGTCCTCAAGCCACAGGCAACCTGGAAGGTAGTCAGGAACCATGAAGTTCACTGGTTTGAAGTTGGGATGTGCTAGATGAGGGCCATGTCTAGGCTTTCTGGGGCTTGAGATGGGGGAAGGATGGAGGAACCACTCTTTCTGGACTGGGGGACCTACTGGCTGTGCCAACTTTTCTGTGACTAGAGCTTGGACCAGGGGGAACCACTTATACTGAGAGGTGGGTCTGGTCTCTGCAGAACGATTCCGTGGTGGCTGGTGGCGGGGCCATTGAGATGGAGCTCTCCAAGTACCTGCGGGATTATTCAAGGACCATTCCAGGAAAACAGCAGCTGTTAATTGGGGCATATGCCAAGGCCTTGGAAATTATCCCACGTCAGCTGTGTGACAATGCTGGCTTCGATGCCACAAACATCCTCAATAAGCTGCGGGCTCGACATGCTCAGGTGGGTACTTCCTCTCTTCGGGGTCAAGGGATTGGGTGGACGGGGTGGATTTACAGAGCACTGTGCTTATTCAAACTCTGTACTCAGCCCAGGTGACAGGGCTGGAACTAAAACCGGTACCACATAACTGCCTCCTCTGAAGGCAGAGGCAAAGCCACTGTGCCAGGACTGGAGGCCCCAGGGTTTCTTCGATGCTTCTACCAGAGTATGATCACTCCTCACTGCAGTGAGAGGAACCATGGAACTCTGTGGCCCCCACCTGGCAGCACCCTGAGCACATGCAGTAGGTTTGTGGGTGTGGGGGTGAGCACTGCAGAGCCCTGCTGACACACGGTCCAGCCATGGCTCTGCCACCTCCAAGTTGTTACCTTTCTGAGAACTTCATTTGTTCATTTGCTATTTAGCAAATACTTGTTTAGAGATGTTAAGTGCTGGGCACTGTGACAACAGCCCCCCTCAGTGAGTGACCAGGCTTCTGACTTGTTAGGACTTTCAACGAGTCACTTTACTTCTGTGTCTGTTTCATCTGTACAATGGGGCCTAATGGGAACAGTGAGATGATACAGTGAGATACAGGATTGGAAAGTGTTTCTCCTGAGAACCATGGTTTGATATATGCAGTCCTCCCAAAACAGCAGCTGGCGCAAAGCGGGCCAGTGCTCCTGTGTGATCAGCCTATCCAAGGTTGGCGGGGGCAGGGCTGGGAAGAGGCGCACTTCCGGGTTCCTGTTGTGATGCCACAGGCAAGTGCCATCTTCCTCGGAATTCCAGGAAGTTGAGAGTCAGGATTCCTAACATGCCGAGTCTTTGGGAGCGAGGGTATGCAAAAAGAAATTTAAAAGCAGTACCATGTTTCCCTGCTCTTTCAGGGGGGCATGTGGTACGGGGTGGACATCCACAACGAGGACATTGCTGACAACTTCGAGGCCTTCGTGTGGGAGCCGGCTATGGTACGGATCAACGCCCTGACTGCAGCCTCTGAGGCTGCGTGCCTTATCGTGTCCGTAGACGAAACCATCAAGAACCCTCGCTCCACAGTGGACGGCCCCCCAGCTGCTGGCCGGGGCCGAGGTCGTGTCCGCCCCCATTGAGAGGCATCCCACCCCTCACACGAGTGGCTGGCAGGCTGGCTGCAGGGTGCGCTTACTCGCCCTGTCTTGGTTAGTTGGTATTACAAGGAAGTAGTAGTAATTGGTGCGCTCTGTTCTCACTGGAGGTTATTTAAATAAAACTTAAGACTTAGAATTCACTTTGCAAATTATTTCGGTCATGAGTTTTACTCATAAATGTCTTGATTACAGCTCAGGATTTTAGTTTTGTATGTACTCACCCAAACGGTAGAAAAATGATCTTCCCTCCTGTTGGGCTGTCTTCAGTGGTCTAGTCCTTACGGCAGAATGTGGGCCACTCTGCCAGCAGGGAGCTCCACCTGAGACACCCCTGTCCACAAATTTCACTTTGGTTGCTCGTAGTCCCAGAAGTGGCTGGGAGACATGGAGTCACTTCCTTTTCTTCCGCATTCATCTTATTTAGCCCTGGCCTAGCCAGACACTGCTCCCAGGGTTTCTCTGGGTTTGAGTAAGTGTGTATCATGACCTTGTCTGTCCCTTCTATGTTTGTATTCTCTTGGCTCAGTCTTTTGGTCTCAGCCTTATCGAAGGTTGAGGGCTCTTGGAAGACCGTCTTAGAGAAGCCACATCCTCTCAACTCCAGTGACTTCTACTTAGAAGTCCATTGAGGAGGTGGCTGAAGGAACACTCGCCTGGTCTCAATTCAACCACCAACAGCCTTGGGAGTCCCATTCTCTTCTGTAGTGCAAGTTTGGGCTGGCCAGCCCAAACAGACGAATTGGAAATCAGCAGGGTCTAACTGCCTCGTTTGTACTAACCCCAAGAGCTGGCCTGTAGCTAGCTGTAATTAGTAACTGTTGAAGCAAGGGGTAAATAATTTTAAGTCACCTTGAGCCATTGAAGCTTTTCTGCTTTAGACTGGGAAATGGTTTATAAAAAAAGAAAAATCTGAGTTGGGCCATTCCTGGTTAGATGGGCTCGGAAGTGGAATGGGGACTAGTGGGCAGGTCCAGAATTTGGAATCTGGCCCCCTTCCTAACTTGGTCTTTGGGTTAACTAAGTTTTCTGAGCCTCAGCTGTTACACCTGTAGGGTGAAGATAAGAACAACTGGCTCAAGAGTTGTGGCGATAAATTCTCATCTACTTGTTTGATGCTAGAGCCACACACAGTTTAAGCCTAAACACCTGTTCTTTTTCCTGACTTCAAATATTTTAAGACCTGAATAATCAAATCGGTGGGGCAACTCCATTTTGTAAAATGGAGAAGTCGAGGCCAGACCATGATGGGGAACGGAACTTGGTCTCCCCCAAGCCAAAGCCTGATTGGCTGGCTGACCGGAGACTTGTGAGGAGGTGGCCAAGCCAGTTAGGGGGACTGGACAGCGCCTGCTGCTTCTGCTGATTGTGCTGGGGTTGCCCTTAAATCTGGCCTCTCCTGGCTGAGTCAGAAAGGGCATCCCAGGGCTTCATCCGCATGGACACAAAGGGAGCTGTGGCAGGGGCAGTAAGCTGTATGGCCTTCGTCCTGCAATGTCTACGGTCCAGAGATAGGTCTTCTCATGCTTCCTTCACCCCGTTGGTGCCATGCAGGTGATCCGCCTCCTTCCTGCCTTAGTGCACTTTAGCTGCAGAAAGGCTTGGTGACAGACTGACAAATATGCCATCTACCATTTACTTCCCTGAGGCAGCTATTCCAGTTTCACCATCTTTTATTGGATACAAAGCCATAAATTCTCTGATGCCCAATGTGAGTCCTTTTTTAAATACATACACTCAGGTACATTCAGCGAAGGGCATCTATGGGTGACATGGAGCAAAGTGCTGGGATGGTGATGCCTGGATGGGGCAGAGAAGTGGGGCCAGGGAAGGCCCCCTGGGGGCTGGAGGTACAGGCACCACTTCAGAAACAAAACCAAAAAATGCTCTCCACCCCTCTGCTTGATGTGCTTGGGGTGGGGGAAGCTATCCTCTCACAGCCCAGGCCAATTGCAGCCTGGCTGTGCAGGGAAGGCAGGGCCTGGGGGGGTCAGCTGTGGAAGTCCCCACTGGCAGTGCCCACTAGAGCCAAGCCTACTGGCACCAGCCACAAGGCAGGCCTAGGTCACCTCAGGCCTCTGCACCTGAGTGCAAGACCTCTGCCAGGGCAGAGCCGAGGCTGGGGAGCCTGCCTGATTGTCAGGGCAGCCTTGGGACTGGCCAGGGTCCCAAGGGGTTGGGGAGGGAATAGGGGCTGGTTGCCTTAGTCAGCCCTGGTATTCTGATCTTCACCCAGTCCTACCACTTATCCTCAGGCAAGGGCTGCAGATGAACACACTTATCCAGGAATAAATACATACACACAGTAACACAGCAATATATACAGAAATGCAGGCCTGGGACATTGCTGGGCGAGAAAGCATGGCCAGTAGGGCTGAAGAGACATGTCAGGCCCCTCGGGGAGGGAAGTCACACATCGACTGACAGGCTGGGACACATCCATCAGTTTAACTTCTCTGGGCACTCGGGCCCTGCACCCACTCACCACCTTTACTGTTATCACCCCAAGTCCTCTAGGAACTGGGTCTTTGGCACCAATAGTCACCCTGGAAAGGTCTTCAACTTAGCGCCTTAGAGGGACTGGGGCCTAGGTAGCTCCCTACTTATGGCCCAGAAGACTAGAGACCAGGACCAGCGGCACAGAACCCAAAGGCAAAGCATGGAGCCAAACCTTGGAGCAGCAGGCCTTGGGGAAGGAGGTGGCTTTTTTGTTTTTTTTGGGGTGGGGGGTGGGGAAGCAATTCCTAAGGGGCTGGCTGGCTTAAATTATTCTCATGGGACTAGGAAAACATGAGCTGCCTTGGCCCTTAGGTGGTTTCTCCTGGCCAATGAAAAGCCATGGTTCTGGGCAGCCCACTCTCTCTCCCTCAGGGCTGCAGACATACACAGCATCTCCCTTCCCTGCCAGTGCTGTTCGGCAGCCCAAATGATGAAGTACGCAAGCCAGGTACACTGATGGCCCCAGGTGCTGGGGCTGGGCTGTATGGAAGGGAGAGGTTAGGGACACTAAGTGGCTACCACCCATTGGACCTCTGCACATGCCAGCGGCCCCTGGAGCAAGGCCTGCCTTGGTTAGCTCTCTGACATTGCTCCTTGCATCATTAGGTGTGAGATATGGAGGAGGGCTCTCCTTTGGGTGAGTGAAGGATGAGGTACTTCCAGGGATGGCAGGACCCTCCATCCCTGTTCCCCATCCTCAGCCCTAGTTGATGGTTGCCAAAGAAGAGAACACATGTAGCAACCCAGCCTACAAAAGCTACCCCTCCTCAGTAGAGGACCTCATCCCCATGAGAGGCAAAAATTTGCATCGAGTTGGTAGGGGTGGGAGCCTGCTAACTTGCCAGTTCCTGGGGCAGGCATGATGGCCAGGCCACGCAAGTGTGCCAGCCCCAGGTGCAGAGGTGCAATGGGACGTGCTGTGACCCATGCCCCCATTGGCAGAGGCTTGGACCTGAGTGCTGTGCACCCCCACACATCCTTCGCACACTTGGCCAGCCGGAAAATACAGGGTGGGGCACTTGGGTTTCCTGGAAACAGCCAAACCTGTGAGTCAAACTTCCCACCAGTAGGAGAGGGAGTCCTGTTCAATCTGCTGCCCGCAGTGCTGGTGGCGCTCAGGGCTGCTGCACAAATGAATGAGTGCATGAACCTAGTACTGGCATCAGTGCTTTCAAATTCAGCACCTTTTCTCCCACTCTAGCTCACTGCCCATGCACCGACTTCCTTTCCCAGGGCTGATGCTGGGCATTCCAGTAGGCACCCACCCAAGGAAAGACTGCCCAGGGGATGGAGGCTTCCTGGGGCAGAAAAAGTCCCTCAGTAGGGCAGGGGCTTTGGCCATGCAGGGCATCCCTTTGTGCTTTGTCCAGGAGACAGGGAGGGCAGCACCTCTGGTCCTGGGGTCAGGGGGAGCAGGGCTATAGAGGGTGCAGTTGGAAGGTAGGACTGATGCACCCAGGGCAGCCAGGCCCTGAGTGGACCTCCACTTCCCTTCCAGGCCCAAAAAGTTGTGCTTCTCCTTCCTGTGACTCCTGGGGACAGGGCTAGGGAGTGGGGAGTCAATGGAGCCAGCTAGCTGCTCTGGGGTGGGGATGCCACTCAGCCAAGGCTTTGTGCAGGATCAGACGGGGAGTTGCCAACATGACACCCTTGGTATTTGGGGTCTTCAAAGGGCAGGGCCAGAACACGCTATGAGAGGAAGTCATCAACAATGAAAAGCCGACGGCTGCATGTAAAGCCAGAGAAATTGCGTGCACTGCTGAGCCTGGAACCCAGCTCTGGAGGACTCGGCAAGCGTAACCCAGGCTGGGTCTTGATGTCCAAGCCTAGTTGTGGCCGAAAGTTGGGTCCCTGGAAAGGACTGAGAAACTAGAGGAGCCCAGTCCCTGTCAGGGCCAGTGGTTAGAGCAGAGAGCCAGTCCTGTGCAGGAGAGAAGGAAACCCTAGGATGGATCTAGGTGAACATTTGAAAGAACTTTCCAAGTGAAGATTGGCAGGACCCACGACCTCTGAGCCACTGTGGGAGTTCTGAGGAAGAACTGGGGAGACCTGAGTCTTTAGAGCCTTAGTGCTGGGACCTGGTCCCGTGGGGACCATGTAAAGGTCAGTGAAAACCCCCACTTGCATTCTGTAGCTTCTAAGCCAAGCAGCTCTGGTTTGCGCCCCAGGACTGCCCCCATGTAGAAGACCCCCAGGAGAGCCTTCAGCCCATGAGGCCAGTGAAGACCAAGGAGGAGGACAAATCCAATGAAGGTCTTCTTCCTCGTTCTTGGCCCCACGGGCCTAGCTCCCTACCAGGGCCACATCTTCAAGCAAGCTAGCCAGATGAGGAAGGGAGCCAAACCACACTCCTCCCATCTCCCCTAGATCCCAGCACAGAGGGCAGTCCAGTGCCTCCCTCCCACATAGCCTTGGGGACCCAGAGGTCATCAGAGTACTGCCCAAGCACCTGGACGAGAAGGGCATCCCTTGAGGACAGGTACAGCTTCTCACAGGTGACAGGGTTTCCCAGGGCAGGGGCCTCGCACCTCCAGAGGTTTGGGATTGCGGATAGGTATGGAAACATGCATCTTTTAGCTTGGAATTTAGCTCTGGTGTGTCATGGGGTATGTGATGGCTGGGAGGAGGGGTCTTGTCTTTTCTACAGCAATAAACACTTCTTTCTGTTCCTGGCAATTTCCCCCTTTGGGAAGGATGGTCTCGATGTCCTGGGGAGTTCTGGGTGACTATTTTGCCGTTTCAAGCCCGCTCTCACTACCTCACTGTACCCCTGCCCCCTACCTTGAACTGACCACATGCCCAGACCCCTTGGCCTGTCTGAGTTAACCTGGAGAATGTGGACGCAGAGCCCAGGAGGGCAGTCTGAAGGGAATGCCCATAGAGGGCTGGGACAGGGCAGGGCAGAGAGAAGAGCCCTCCTTGCCAAGTCTGAGCTGCCTTGCAGAGCACCCTCTAGCCTGGAGCCTGGCAGAGGCCCCTGCCTGGGAAGGTGGGCCCCAGGACTGGGATATCTGCCCAAGCAGCCTGAGCAGCCAAGGAGCCACTGGGTGGTTATTGCAGATCCTTGGGGCAATGATACCAGGTGCTGGTGGTGACTCAGCTCCTAGCTGGCTGTGCCCAGAGGCTGGGGTGGGGGTTGGGGGGCCGCTGCTGTCCAAGCCCCTGCCCTGGAGAGGCAGTGCCCAGGGTCAAGCCTGTTGCTCCACTGTCCCAGGAGGAGGACAGGAAACTGTCGACCCTCCCTGGAAGCCAGGGATAACACTAGGCCTCTGAAAGTCTAGTCCAAATCAGGGTCCCTCTGGAGGTCCAAAGAGAGTGCCCTGGTGTGGGGCTGGCAGGGGCCCTGCCGCCCCCCACCCGGGTTAGCAGCTGCCTTCCACCTTGATGTGCAGGATCTTAGAGAAGCCGGGCCTCCGTCGCAGGGCCTGCGGACCGAAGCCTGGGTTAGTGCCCCTCAGGGCCACACAGTTCAGGTCCTCCCATCACACACCCAGCCCACCAGCCCCAGCGAAGGGAAGCCACGTGGGTCTTGGGTGGCCTCAGAGCCAGTTCCTTACCTGGAGTTTTGTCACCATGTCCTCAAACAGCTTCTGGGCCTCAGGACTGCTGGGCTCTTTAAAATAATCGGCAATCCCAATCTGGACCACAATGGACTTGAGGTTCCGGCAAATGCCTGGGAAAAGGTGGGTAAGGTGGAGACCCATGTTTGGCCTGGGCAGTGGGGCTGCCTCCTCTCCTCTCACTAATAAAATCAGAGCCCTACTGAGAGACAGTAAGTATCAGGCATAAAGAGGAGAAACATAAAAGGGAGAGGAGACCCACACTACTCAGGGGTTCAACAGGACAACAGAAGGTAGAAGGTGAGGTCGAACAGCAGAGGCTGTGGTAGACTCTGGAGGGTAAGTGGGCAGCAGCCAAGTGTGCAGGGGCTCTGGAAACTTCCCTGGCAGAGAAGACAGTTGTGCTACGACCTAAGCATTTGGAAATGAATTAAAAGGACAGAGCAGCTGACGTGAGGCTGATGGGTCCCGGCTGGAGCGTGGGAGGAGGGGAAACAGGGAGCAAACAAGATGGGAGCATAGGGCTTAAGGGGCTGGATGTTGCTATGAAGTCAGGGGAGGAAGAGCAAGGTCAGGAGGCCGAGAAGGTCCTGGGGGCTGAAGGGGAGGTAAGAAAAGGATGCTGGAGATAATACGGTCGTGGAACCTTCAGTGCTCAGGACATGGGGATCTGCCAGGGGCCACATGGTGCTGGAGGATGGTCTCACCCGATGGGCATGAGCAGCCCAAGCTGGGCACCCGTGTCCTCAGTGAAGGTAAAGAGATGGCTGGGAGTAGACTGGGCGGCAGGAGGGAGGTGGGGCCGGAGGAAGCATGATTTGGAGTCTAGTCCAGGGAGAGAGGGGTCTTCCCCCTGAGAACTGTCATTGGAGGCTCACACACATTCTCTCATTTAGTCCTCCCATTCATTCTAGAAAATCAGCTTAGAAGATGGGGATATAGAACTCAAAGAAGTACAGTAACTTGCCTCAAGTCACACGGCTAATATGCAGTAGAGTCAGAATCGAGACCCAGATCAGTCCAGCTCCAGAGCCTGTGCTCTTAGCCCATCTGTTCTCCTGCCCGGCCCTTGGGGGAGGCGCACATGGGGGCACGTGATGCCCACCGCTCGTCTCCAGCTTGGGTAGAGCACAGGGCAACAGACATCTATTGAGCTGAACTATCTGACCAGATGCTGGCAGGCCTTGAATGCCACACTGGTCTCAGAAGCCACTGGGGGCAAAGCCAGGACTTGAACTCTGGTCAGTCTGACCCCAGCACTAGTGCTGGCTGACTAAGAGCGACAGGAAGCCGGTTATGCTACTTGCTGACAAGGCCTGGTAAGAGGTGACACTTGTACCCCACCCTGCATTCCCCACCGCTCACTGTTGAAATGAAGTAGGGCCTTGGGGGTGACAGGGGTGGCTGTGAGCACCAGCATCTCTAATCCCTTCAGGCCTTCTCGGCAGACCTCAGCCGCCACCTCCTGGGTGATCTCTGACACGTGGTCCAGCTCCAGGACCTGCAGCCGCATGCAGTTTCTCGCTAGGAAGAGGGAGGAAGAAGGGAGGTCCTGCTGAACACTCCCAGGTCACCTCCTGCCCAGCGCCCTGATGCTCCCGCCACCACCCAGGCTGCAGCCCCTAGCCCCTCTGGGATTGTAGTGTTGCACCCATGCCTGCTTTCCACTAACCCCCACCTCAGTCCCAGGGAAAGACTCACCGAGTGATGCCAGGCCCTGTACCCCACAGCCGGCACCCCCAACCCCCAGGGCCCGGAGGTGGGGCCAACAGCGACCGATCATCTGCAGGCAGCGGTTACTGAAGCGTGTGGGCTGCTGGCTGGAGAATGGGGGGCAGGAAGGACCATCAGGGAAGCCACTGGTTGCATGGTACCCCAAGCCTGCCCTTCCTTCAGGCTCGCCTCGGGCAATGGCTCCACCAACCATCCAGCTGCTCAAGTCAGAAACCTGGGATCATCCCTGACTCCTCCTCTCTCACCTCCTGCCAAGACCTGCGGATTCTGATTCCTAAATAAGACTTCAACCCACAGTTCAGACTACCGTCAATATTCATCTAGATTATAACTAGTCTCTCTGCCAATTCATCCTCCAAGCTGCTGACGGTGAGCCAGTTATTCCTACATTCTCTCACTCAGTCGTGGTTCTAAGTGTCTACTAGAGCCAAGAACAACTGGGGATATAGTAGTGATAATACAGACATGGTCCCTGCCCTCAAGGAGTGGACAGAGGGATGAAGGGAGGACAAAAAATGTTACCCATCTGATGTAATCAATCCAGTTCTTTAAGATCTAAAATCCCCCAATTGCTTCCCAGCACTTTCTAGATAAAATGCAAAATTCTAAACCCCTCAGGTAAGGCCTTCCTGACCTTGCTGGAACCTGCTTTTCCACACTCACTGCTCGGCTTTGCCCACCACTCACACCAAACTTGCTGTTTCCCTGAACATGTCATCCCTCAACACTGGCCCAGGCCGCGGATGTCACTCTAGTGTCTGCTACGTGCTTGGCACCAGGGATGTGGAAAGGGACATTTACAGCCTCTACCTGAGAGCCATGAGACTACTGGAGACTGGAATACAGAGAAGTGGCTGCAGAATGGACTATAGCAGGGGTTGGGACAGGTACAGTAGGAATGTAGGCAGGGAGCAGTGACAGACTGTACCAGGGTGTTAGTGAAGGGACACTGGAGGATCTGGGAGGAGTTGACATGTGGAGAGGGGGTTTGGAAGGCAAGGTGCAGGGAACAGAAAAGCCTGATATGTTTGAAGAGCCATGAGTGACCTCACACTCTGAATTCCCTAATAAGCAGCTCTTTTGCACATTATACACTGACCGCCCTGTACTGCCTTTCATATGCCAAACCAACCTGTCTACTTACAGCTAGCGTTTACTCAGCACTCACTGTGGGCCCTACAGCTTTATGGACACACTCATTTGAGCCACCAACAGTCCTAATAAGGTCGACAGATCCCTTCACTTCACCTTCACTTTGCAGGTTTTGAAAGTAAGGCACGATTGGGTTGCCCAAAATCACACTGCTAATAAGCCAGGTGATGACCTCAGATCGGATTTTAAGCCCTGCTCCTAATGCCTAAAAACACAGATTGATAATGTGAACCTGTCTCCCCAACCAACGGATAGTGTGGGCCCAGACCTGCTCAGTCCTCAGCCCCAGACCCTGCCCAACTCTGCCCCTTCCCCATCCCTGCCAGGGCTCACCAGGGGTGAAGTGGCGCCACCTGGAGGGAGACAATCTCTCTGCAGCCTGCACCGAGGGCCCAAATGACCTCGTGGCCCACCGGGTCTGTGGCGCTCCTGTTGAAAAGACAAAGCTGGGGCAACCCACCCTGGTGGCCCTCTGCTCTCTTCTCTGGGGCCACAGAGTCTTGAGTCCCTTTGCCTGCAGAGCCCAGGGATCCCTTGGGCCTGAGGCCAAGAGGGTATGGGCCTTGCGTCTGGTGGGGTGGACCCACCTGTAGGTGACAGCCTGTAGGGCGCGGCAGTAGCAGCTGGCCAGCCAGAGCGAACGGTCGGTGAGGATGTTAGGACAGTGAGAAATGCGCAGGATCAGCAGATTGCCCCCTGCAGCCTTCAGCAGGGACTCCAGCCCTGCTTCCAGGCAGCCCCTGGGGATGGTCAAGAGGTCAGGGAGCTGCTGTGGCCACCTCCTCCTCTGGGAGGCATCCCTAGGAGCACCACCTACCCACCCACCCACCCACCGTGGCCTCACCGGGTGCTCCGGGCGTATTCCTCCTTGCTCTCCTTCTTGCCCCGCTGCCGGGGTTTCAGGTTCTGCAATGTCAGCGAGTGGGCCTGGGTGCACCACTGAGCCAGCATGGTCAGGAACTGCAAGGAGAGAGGGGTTACCTGGGGATGAGGGTGCTGAGCTTGGCTGGCTGGAGGTGGACCAGCTCTAGGACAGGAGGCCTTAGGAGAGCATTTCAGGGAGCCGGGCAGGAGCTGGGGTGTTGTAAGGGTTGCAAAGACCACACCTGGAGGAGCCAGACTCTGGGGATGGGAAGGTGGGTTCACAGCAGGGGTGAGTGGGAGGGCAGGGGCAGCGGGCAGGGACAGGCACCTTGGAACAGACACGGGCATTCTCGAGCAGCACCCGTGTCCAGACGGCCGGGTGGCGGGCCACGAAGCGCCAGTCCCGGCAGACCTCGGCGGCATGCAGCAGTGTGCGTGTGTCCAAGTAGGTGAAGATGCAGAACAGGGCGGCTCGCATCTTGAGGATCTCTGGGCTGATGACCTCATTGGAGCGTGAGGGACTGCCCCTCTCTGCTCGCCGACCCCGTGCACTGCCTCCCTCAGAGCGGGCTGCACAACACCAGAAGGTCAAGTGTCGCGGGTCAAAGGCCAGCATTGGATGTGGTGGGAAACTGAGGTAAGGTGGGAGCTTCAGGAGGAAGAGGCATGAGAGACCCATGGCAGGGGACCAGAGCCTTGGGAGGAAGGACAAGGGGCCTCTGCTTCCCCCTACTTTTCCTAGTTTTGCAAATTAGAGAAAGGTGGCCTTTCCTTAAGTAAAGTCTTTTTAAGATCATATATCATCACATAGTCCAAAGTCATCCCCTAGATGAGGCAACTGAGTCAAGTTTGGAGAAGGAAAGGGTTTGGAGGGCTAGGGGATGGATGGACATAAACTGGGCCTCTGTGAACAAAAGGTAGGCGAGAGGCTGCCCAGAGCAGTCACGGGCGCAGCCATATACCCCGACCTGAACCCTTTCACCTCCTGACCCTGACCCATCCACATATGTGTACGGTCTTGTGTATACACAGGATGGTGCTCTCCACAACTACTCCAGGGGTTTCAGAATCTGGAGTCAACAACACTCAGCTACTCTCCTGTGGATGTCCATGAGCCCACATATAAATGGATCTCCTTAGATGTGCATCCTTGTGTAATCCCCAACCTGAGTGCCCTGTGCTGCAATACTGTCGCACGATTTCCTGCCCCAGGCTTGCAGGGCACTGTGTGGGAGGGAGTTTGTCATGGGAAGCCTGGGGCAAGGGAAAAGCAGGTGCAGGAGCCCAGGAGGTGTACTGCCTCGGCCCTGTGTCCCCTGAGAGGGCCAGCACAGTGAAAAAGGCTGGCCTCTCTGCCTACCCGCCCAGGACTCACCTGAAAGCCGGCAGCTGCTCAATGGCCCAGCCATAGCAGGCCCAGGGCGGGGGGTGTCTGAGGGGCCCTCAGCCTCTGACTCGGTGGTTCGGGAGCCCACATCCGAGACGTCACCTTCCTCCCCCTCTGTGCTGTGTCGGCGGGGTCTGCGCTGCCAGTTCTGGATGGCCTGGCGCCGCAGGCCTGAGCTTCGAGGGGCCTGGGACCTCTCTGAGCCACCATTGGCAGCCTGGGCCCGTGTGCCCAAGCCCCCAGGGCCACTGTCCTCTGGGGCCCCCTCTTCTGGCCGGGGCAACTCCAGACTGTCACTGTCATAGCATCCTGAGCTCTGGGATGCAGCTGGGACACGGCTAGAGGCCCTGGGGTCGGGTGGACCAGACAGTAAGGAGTGAGAAGGGAGGGGCACCAGGCCTACCCGAACTTCCCAGGCTATCCCTACCACCAGCAAAGGGCACCCCACCCACCCTACTTTCCAAGAGCCCCCTCTGAGTGTGGAAAGGCAGATAGAGGTGACCCCCCAAGGAGGATGGGGGGAGGAGGAGCCAAGCCCCCAGACAGGTCAGCCATCCAGTGGGCCAGCGGAATTTTCCAGGGTGAGGGTGGGCTGCGTGGGGCGGGCCAGGCCCAAGGCTTACCCTGTGCTGGGAGAGGAGCCATGCCGTGACACCGCATATGTGCTAGGCATGGCCGGGCCTGCGTGGTGTTCTCGCTGTGGGCCCCCAGAGCGGGAGGGAAAGGGATGGGGGTAGGGCAGAGGAGGCAAGAGGATAAAGAAGGAGCAGGAGAAACAGGGTACAAGATGGAGAGAAGAGAGGAGAAAGAAGGAAAACAGTTGGGAAGGATGGACAAATAGACAGACAGACAGCCCAGAGAGGCAGGCTCACCAAACCCCCTCCCCACAGCCACCCAGCACCCCAGACCCGGATTGTGGCTCCTGGGTTCTCATTTACAGGGATGGGCATAGATGGGCCCATGAATCACACCGCACTACAGCCTTGGGGCCTGCACTTTTGCCCAATCAGAGGGGCTTCTCTGTTCCTAGACCCCTACTTCCGTCCCCTATTGGAATCTGCTCATGGGGGAGACCCAAAGAAGGGAAGCATGGAGCATTATAGGGGGGATGTCAGGCCACATGTGAGGGGAGTTTGTGGGGGCCAGGTGTGTGGGTGGAGAAGGGAAGGCAGGGAGGAACTCACCAATCTGCCTGGTCCCCGGGTCCCGGGCCCTGCGCCACTTCCCCCAGCTCCACGGCCCAGGCTGGCACTTGGTGTGCTGCCACAGCTGCTGCTGATGACCTGGAGCTGCCGTTCAGCACGATCAGCCCGCTCAAGGAGCTCCTCAATGAACTGCTGTAGTCGCAGCTTGGCGCTGGCTTCCCGGGCCGCCGTCTCCTTCAGGAACTGATCGATCTGCACCACCTCCCTGGGCCCGGAGCAGTCTCTTACCCAAGTGCCTCCCCCTGGCTACCTGCCCACCCTCTGGAGGAGGCCCTGGCCAGTGGGGAGTGACATGGGCACAGTTGCCCGCGGTATCTGCTCATGGTTACATGGGTACATGCAGAGCAGGTCCAGGCACACTGCCCCAGACAATGGCACATACAGAAATGCCAGCATACACTCCAAGTTAAACACTCACACGCCACCCATCCAGCTCCAAACACAAAACTAGACATCCTGCTCCCCACAGAAATACTCATAGGTATACTCAGTCACAAACAGCCACCTCCCCCCTCCAGAAACACAGACTTAGTACACAGCCATGTACGCACAATGATGGACCTGTACTCAGATTATGTCCATTCACAGGCACACGCAGTCTGAGACAAGCATGGTCCCACCAACACAAACACACACACACATTTTCAGAGACGCTCTCAGATGGAGAAGCATACCTCCAGTTGCACCAACCTCCACGAGTTGCATGTACATGCGGCACACTTAAGAGTCATGAGAGTATTTACTCCCAAACACATTGAGTTGTTCATGCATCCACTCAACACTGAGCACCTTCTCAGTGCCAGGCACTGTCCTAGGTATTGGGGACAGAGCAGTGAACAAAGCAGAGAAAAAGTCCTGCCCCCGTGGAGCTTATATCACTATGGGGACAGATAAATAACATCTATATATTTCATAATTCTACATTTAAAGACCAAAGAAATAAGGAGAAACCAGCAAAGAAGACTGAGAAGAAGCAGACAAAAGATAGAAGGAGGTCCAGAGAGAGTATCCTGGAAGCCAAGTAAAGAAAGCATTTCCAGGATCAGCTGTGTCAAATGCTGCTGATGGGCCAAGTAAGATGGCTGCGCCTTGGCAACTTGAAGCTTGTTGGTGACATGGAGGACAGTGGTGGAGGTGGACATCTGATCAGAGTGGGTTCAAGAGAAAATGTGGGGAAAGAAATTGGAGACAAGGAAGATGAACTTGAGAGTTGTTCCGTAAGGAGGAGAGAAAACAGGCAGTAGGTCAAGGGGGGAGGTAGGGTTATGTCCAATGGAAGAAATGAGCTTATGTTTATATGCTTTAGGGAATGATACAGTAGATAGGGAAAATTTGATGAGCGCAAAGGGAGAGGGGAGAATTGCGCTATGTGTTTGAGTAGGCAAAAGGGAAGAGGATCTGGTGCCACAATGCAGTAGCTGTCCTTGGGTGCGAGAATAGAGAAGAGAAACAGTCTTTACAGAAGGCCATACTGCCTTTACGTCTTTACATCTGAAACAGTCTTTATGTACGGTCATACTGCCTTGGACTCACAATCTTAAACACAGTCATGACATTCTTGGCCCCCACATACACCACTATTGCATGCTCCTGGCCACAAATCCCAGAAACCATGGCCACATACACAGACACACACACTCATAGCCACACACAGTGGCGGCAGAGGCACAGCGACATATACGGTCACCCAGTCAGGAACATTCGCGGGCACACCCACTCACAGTGCCCCGCGGGCCACTCACTGCTGCTTGCGGCTCAGCTCCTGTTCCTTGTGCACCAGGTCCTGCTTGAGCGAGGCCAGCAGCTCCACACTCACGTCCACCTGGCGCGAGAGCTCAGACGCACGCTCCTCCAGCTCCTCCTTCTCGCGCCCCAGCCGCGCGCTCTCCTGCCTCGCCGTCTCCAGCTCCGCCGCCTTGCGCTCCAGCTCGGCCTGCAGCCGGCCCACCTGGCCCGCGATCTTCTGCTCCACCTCCTCACTCAGCCGCTCCAGCCTCCGGTCCACCTCCAGCTTCTCCAGCGCACGGATCTTGAGGCGCGCCAGGCCCTCCTCGTAAGCCACATCAGCGGGCGAGGGAGACGCAGGTGAGGCCGACGCGGGCCCGGGGCAAGGCCCGGGGCCTGGGCCAGGCGGGGGCGTCGAGCACGCCGAGGAGGCCACGGACTTGCGGGCGAACAGCTCCCCCAGCGGGATCTCGATCTCGCGCAGCGCGTAGCGCGCGGCAGCAGCGGGCACGAGGCCCGGCTCGGCCAGCTCCTCGCAGGGCAGGCTGGCGGGCACTAGGTCGCTGGGGAAGTGAGCGAGGGGCGCGTGGTGGTGGTGGTGGTGCAGCAGGTGGGGAGTGGCGGGAGATGGCCCGGCTGCCTGCTCCTTGCCCTGGAAGGACGTGCTCTCGAAGACCTCGCGCCGGGCGCCGGGCACGGCCAGCAGGGCGGCGGGCTCTGGCGCCAGCGGGAAGCCTGAGGCGGCCGCGGCGGCGGCCGCAGCAGCAGCGCCGTCGCAGATGCTGTTGGTCTTGGAGAGAATGTAGAGCGTCTCGTAGGTGTGGCTGTACTCCAGGTGCGCGCGCAGTGACGACAGGCTCCGGAAGCGCTTGTGCTCCCCGCAGCGGGGGCAGCGGTAAGGCAGGTCCAGCGAGGCCATGGCCCCGCTGCCCCCGCGGCGCCCGGGCTCCACCGCGGCCGCCCCCGCCACTCAGCCGGGTGCACTCATGGGGCGCTGTGGGCGAGACCCCCTGCAGGATCTGGAAGGCTCAGGGTGCCCGCAGCCAGGGGCCAGGAGGCTAGAAGAGAAGGAGTAAGTCTTTGGAGGGGGGTATCCCTCTTCCCCCTCCTCCCACCCCCGTATTCCCCCACTGGTAAAGAAATTGCCTTCCCCAGAAAACATGTGTCCAGAAGAGAGGGGCGAGGGGAGACCGATGGCCTGACCTCCCAGAGAAGGGTTGGCCTGCTGTGGTACCTGTGCGAGGGCCTGTCCATGAACAAGTGAGAAAGAAGGAGAATTCTTTAAGAAAATAAAAAGGCATTAGTTTTATTTATAATAGTTCCAACCTGGGCATAATTCAAGTGCCCATCACCAGTAGAATGAATAAACTGTGGTATATTCATAATGGAATATTACCCACCAGGAAGAAAAGGAACCATTGGTGCATGCAACAACATGGATGAATCCGTTCAATGTTATGTAACATGAAAGAAGCCAGCTCGGAGTGCATATTGCAGGATTCCGTATATGTGGAGTCCAAGAACAGGCTAAACTAAAGATGACGAAGTCAGAACAGAGGTTACCCCTGGGGGCTCTATGGACTGGGAAGGGGCAGAAGGGATGCTGAAAATGTTCTATACCTTGATATGCGTGGTAGTTATACTGGTGTATGCATATGTAAACAATCAAGCTGTATACTTAAGATCAGTGCATATATGTACTTCATTCACTACACGTATGTTATAGCTCAAAAAATATATATATCCTTAAAAGAAGATGCTTATTTCCATGTCATGCAAACCACATCCATAAGATAGCCTGGACTATTGGTACCATGTTGCAGTGACCAAGACGTCACCTCATCTGATGATATCTCTGTGTGTGTCACTGTTTGTTCCTGTCCCTACTTCCGTACCACACCCATCCCTGCCACTCCAGGCACCTGAGTTCTTTTCTCAGATTTCTTTGCTAGGTTGGTCTCCAGTAAGTGCCCCTGCCCTGCTCTTTGCTCCAAAGGCCACAATATTTGTCCTCCCTGGGCCCCTTCTGGGACAAGCCACCACCCTCCTTGGAATCCCACCCTTGGTCTTGGTCACCCCTCCCCTGCCTTGTGGGATCTCTACCCCATTCCTCACTGCAGTTCTCCTTCCTGACTGCCTGCTGCTGTCCCTGTGTTCCGCCAGATCAGACTGTCTGCTAGTCAGACAATTCAGTTGTCATCAAGGGTCTTCACCCACTTTGTCCCTTGGCTGATACTCCTGACCCCTCCGTCTTCATAGGCTATTGCCCCACTTGGGTTCTCTGACCCCCTCTTCTGGTGCCTTCCTAATCTTCCTGTCTCCTGATGGGAGATCTGCCTTCATGCCTCTATCCTTTCCCCAGGCAGTCTGATTCGCCCCCACAGGTTAACTCATACCTGTAAGCCACTGAGTTTCAGCTTTGCCTCTCTATCCTAACCTGCTCTTGAGTTCCCTTTGCTTTGGCATTTCCACATGGAAGTATGGATGGATGTCTGTTCCCTTTGCTAGCTCAGAACCTAGTTCTCCTCCTGAGAACAGCACCCTACATTGACCTTGGGGAATCATCCTTCCCAACTTTCTCAGTCCACATAATCTGGGTGGGAGCTGATGGTCCACCCCTGGCTCCAGGGGTAAGAATGTGATACAGGCCTGGATGATCAGAGTCCTGGGATGGGCACAGATCACCCAAGTTGAGTCAATGAGCCATTTCTCCAGGAGTTCTTTGGGATTCCTGGGAGAAAACATGCTCTGTGGGCTCAGGTTTCAATGCTGATGGGGAGGGCCATCTTTGAGAGGAAGCACCTGGGAATGAAGCCAACACAAGCAGAACTGAGATGGAGAAAGAGAATCCTCATAGTCACTGTTTGAGATCCTGGTCTGTTCAATTCTGTGAGCCAATCAATTCCCTTCTTTGTTTAAGCCAGTTGGAGCTGGGTCTGTTACTTGAACCAGGAAAAAGTCGTAACCCAGAAATCAGAATCAGAAATGGAATTTTTAAAAAGCAATATACCATAAGAAGGAATTAGATGAACTGAGGTGGAGAGTAAGATACTACCAATTCCCCCACTCAGAAGTTGGTGAACCCTGCTTCATAGTAACAAAGCAGCTGATTAAACTCTCCCACCGCCTCTGGAACTCAAATCATGTTCCTATCAAGGCTGGAACTTGAGGGGACTTACAGAAAAATGTCACGATGTTGGGGTAGGACCTTTCCCATGGCCCCAGTAAGGTCCAAGAAGAAGCAGACTCACTCTGGCTGAAAGGGGCCCATCTGAAAGCAAAAAGGAAGAAAATGCTGCTTTGCTCAGAGAGGCCCTTTCTGCCTGAGGCCAGTAATCCAATATGGCTGAGAGTCAGATAATTAAGAGGCAGTTCTCTGCTTCTAGCTAAAGTCAGCTCAAGCAAAGACAAGGAGGCTGGAAACACAGAGGGAGACAAGCTTGGGGCCTGAGAGGCTATTGATTCCTCAGACCCTTCTCAACCCCTCCTGCTGTGCACCCCCAGTTTGACAGAGGCAACCCATTGCTTCCATTATAAGCAGGCTCCCAATGGGAGGCAGCTTGAGTGGGATGGGGCAAATGAACTCTGCCTCCTACCCTAGAGTAGGGTTTGAATTGCCCTGTGGCAGAAGCCTAGCTAGAGGCCACAGAACTGTGGGCTCCTGGGATGTGCAGAGCACCAAGGCCTGTTGCTAAGAGACAACCCCTCCTCCTTCTACAACACCATCACCAGGGACTCCATTCAAGAATTATAACTTCCAGTGAGGTCTCTAGTTTGGTTAATAGCTCTGGGGATGACTGAATGCAAATTGACTGAAAGCTTCCTAATGATTAAGGGAATTGTATTGCCAGGAAAAAAAAAAAAAAAGCAAACCTGGAAAACAAAGGCCCAGGAATACTTAGCCCCTAAGGTTCCCCACCCACCAAACCTGCTCCAATGGGAGGGGACTCCTCAGGGGTCCTCAGTGGCCACAGAGCACAAGGGACTAGGGCAGCTCTGAGACAGCAGAATCAGACAGCCAGTTGGGGGCAGGGAACCTCATCCTCGCCACCTGGCCTAGCATGTGGACCCTGCTATGGACCTGGGACCACTGGGTGTTGGTATCATGCAAATACCTTAAGCGGTGTGGTTTCCTTTTATACATTGGAGTTTTAATCCATCTAGAAAATTTTGGTATATGTGGTGAGACAAGGATTAAAAAAACAAACAAACCAATTTTTTTGTTATGGACATTTTCATACATATTCAAAAATAGAATATGATGATGAATTCTATGCAACCTATCTTCCAGTTTCAACTGTTATCAACTCATGGCCAGTTTTCTTTCATCTGTATGTATATTGCTCCCCTGCTTCATACTTCCCCCACCCCCACCAATGGATAATTTTGAGCAAATCCTAGGTATCATATTATTTTTCCCCAAAATACCAGTCTGTATAAGACAGGGACTTAAATTTCTTTTTTAAAAAACTAATATTTATTAATTGTTCTACCATCGCCTTCCTCTAGCTATATTAAAACCCCAAAAGTTGCCTTGAGAGGTAAATCCAAAAGATGGTTCTCTGAAAAGACCAACAAAATAAATAGCCCTCTGATAAATTCAAAGAGAAAGAAGAAAGACAGAAAACAAATACATCACACTATCATGAGAAAAGGGCTATAACCAACAGAGAAGATGTTTTTCACATTACTGAACTGCTACCAGGTACAACTCTTGGCCCCAAATTTTGAAAATCTGGATGAACTGAATGCTTTTCTAGGAAAATATAAATTATCAAAATTGACTCAAGAAGAAATAGAAAACCTGGATAGACTAATAACTATAGATACAACTGAAGAAGTTGGCAAAGTGACCAGGGATATTATAAATAGAATTCAGTTCACACACACACGACTGTTCAGGAACAGGGTTATTCTGTAATGTGTGGCAGCCTGGGATCGGGGCACTGTGTGTGCCTGTTCATCCCAGCTAGTGCTGGTGGGGGCATCTTTCAGGGCCTTCCTCCCCTCCCCATGTACCCTTTGCCTGCATAGCACCCTGCTAGAGTAGGGGAAGGGGAAAGTCTGGGGGTGCAGGCCTGTGTGTGTGCAAGGTAGAGGAAGGAAGGGGCTTGTAGGTCCAGGTGGCTCTTCACCTGAGGCCAGCCCCAGAATTTCCCTCCATTTGCTGGATCTGAGGAATGACTATGAATGATTCTTAGGCATGTTTTTGCCTAGATGTCCATACCTCCTCGGCATTAATATGAGGCTTTGCCTGAATGCAGGCAAGAAAGTGATAGAGGCAAGGGGAGGAGGGAGAGGAAGTAAAAGAAAAACAGAAGTGTTATCTGTTCAGATTCCATCACAATCCTGTACTACGTGCACCATGACAGAACAGTTGAAGATTTTCCTTTGTATTCTAGTCTTCCCAAATCAGCAACCTCTGCAGCCCTAAGACCTGCCTCCTTTTACAGCCCTGCCTCCTCAGTATGCCCAGGACCTGTTATGCTCCTTACCCCATCTGAGATGCCTATCTCAAGTCTACTTTTGATAAATCCAGTGCAAAGTTTTCTTTGGGTGGAAGAACCAATCAGAGATATTATCTTTTTTTTCTTTTCTTTTTTTTTTTTTAAGGCTTTCAGGTATGTGAGCCTCATCCCCTTAAATGAGACCAACCATCTCAAGATGTGTATCTTCTCTGGTTCCTGTCTACTCTCACATTCTCACATGTTGACTCTGCCAGAAACAGATAATTTTGCATTTTCATGGCTTCCACTACCACATGGTCACTGAGAATTTCTGCAGTAGACATTATGATTTTTATCTGCTCAGTAACTCTTCATCATCTTTTAGTCATAGCAATATCTTGTCCTTTCTTTGACAGCTACCACTCCCCCACTCCATGTGGTTCTGATGGGGCTACCAAATCTAATAGGGTGGACACGTGATCCAGGCCTGGCCAATCACAGTCCCCCCATCTTCTTGGCCATAATGATTGACCCAGGGATGGGTACATTCCTCAGGCTGAGTCAACAGAGTCCTTCACTGGGAATTTATATGAAAGATTAAGGGGTCCTTTTGTCTCCCCAAGATCACATGCTATGATGATAAATCTAAGTTCTTGTGCAACCCCCACATGGAGAAAACTCATGCATGGTTTGGGGGAAAAAATGTGGCAACACTCAGAGTAAAGCAGAGCCAAGAGCTAGAGAGACAGTCCTCCCTCCATTTTTTTTTTTTTTGGCTTAAAATAGTTTGGGTTGGATTTCTGCACTTATAATCAAAAGTCCTAATTGATACTCTTGCAAATCTATATTTCTAACCTAGAATTTTCTCCTAAGCTCTATTCCAACATGGATCCACTCAGTGTACATTTACTGAGTACCTGCTCTGTAGGTACTAAGAACTATGCCAGGTGTTGTGCTAGGTATGTTGAGGACGCACAGACCAACAAGATCCAATCCTTGTCTTCAAACAGCTTGTGATCTCCTGGGGCAGACTGAGATTTTGGATGATATAGCCATGAAATAATGCTATGCAAGAGGCTGGCACAGGATTCTACAATTAACTTAGCTTGAGGAATTGGGGGGTTGGTTGTGGAATGATGGAATGGCAAGGACTTAATCAGGCACAGTTCAGAGAATGGACTACAGGAAAAAGGCTGTTGGAACACTGGAAGTAGAAATTGTTAACCAAGGTAGCAGGAGTGCAAATGGGGAGAAGGATGGATATGGGAACAATTAAGGGACAGAGTGGAGAAGGTTTGGTGACAGAATGACTGTGGAAGGTATGAGAGGGAAGGCCAAGGATCAGTCTCAGGTTTGGGTTTGGAGCATCTAGGTAGATGGAGATGTGGTTCAGTAAAGAGGGAAAAGGAGGGCAGGTTTGGGAGAGAGAGAATCACTTTGGTTGTAGATTCCATGAGTTTGAGGTTCCAGTGGGCATTGGAAGTAGAGATGTTCAGTATATAGTTCGCAATATGGAGCCGAAAATACAGTTTTGGCAATTTGAACATACAAACAAAAGTGATGAGCAAAACCAGGGAGGACGGTACAGAGAGAGGAGAGCAGGGGGAAAGGTAGACCCACAGAGAGGCAGGGGAGGGAGAAGAATCAAGAAGTTCCTAAGAACAAGCAGCAGAAATGTGAATTCTGGCAGGAAACGTTAGGGAGGAGAAGATGTCAAGTCAATAGTTTATGTAACAGTGGAAATAACAGGAGTTGACGAGTCAGAGCAGAGGTGGAAAAAAAAAAAGGTCCACTGGCAACTTTAGAGAGGGTTGCTTTGATGAGCCTGGCTAATGTGGGTTGAGGAGACAGTGAGGTAAGGATGTGAGTACAGACAGTGAATGGACACAGAAACTCAACTGTGAAGGGGAGGAGGCAGCATGGCAGAATCCAGAAGCAGTAGTTAAGATGAGAGATACCTGAACATATTTAAATGCTTGTTAGAGATAATGTAATTCTAACTTATACCATCACTTCTGCTAGCCCGAGGCAGATAACTCGATGCCTTAGACCTGAAATTTATAGCAATTCTTTTTTTTTTCTTTTTTCTTTTTAAGTGCTTTTTAGAAGCAACAAGTAGAGCGGGAGAGGACGAAATGGCTATTCCAATGTAGGTGGCTCAGAGTGTAATACACTAATAGTGAATTCACAATACCACAATACTCACCATGAGACCTGCTTTCTCATGTTCTTCCTCTTGACCAACATCTTCATTATCTACTCAGCACCCTGAATGCAACCCCAAAGGCATCGCTGAATTCTCAAAATCCCCCTCAGAGTTCATCAGTTGCTGATTTTTGTCAATACTATCTTCTAAATATTTGACTCTATGTCTTGCTTTTCCTATAGCCACTGCTCCAGACCTAGTATCTTCTTCTATCTGGACCATTGATACCTTTTCTCACTGGTGTCTCTGACTCTTCCAGCTTTGAATCCTTTGCCAGGTTAGGAAAGTTTTCAGTCATTATTTCTTCAAATAGATCCTTAATCTCACTTTCTCTGTTCTCCTTCTGGTACCCCTATGATGCAAATGTTGTTATGCTTGATGTTGTCCCAGAGGTCTCTTAAACTATCCTATTTTTTTTCGATTCTTTTTTCTTTTAGCTGTTCTGATTGGAAGTTTTCTGCTACCTTCTCTTCCAAATTGCTGATTCGATCCTCTGCTTCATCTAGTCTGCTGGTGATTCCTTCTAGTACATTCTTCATTTCAGTTATTGTAGTCTTCACCTCTGACTGGTTCTTTTTTATGGTTCCTACGAGTATGTCCTTTTTCATGCTTCCCATCTCTTTGTTGAAGTTCTCACTAAGTTCCTTGAGCATCCTTATAACCATTGTTTTGAACTCTGGTAAGTTGCTTGTCTCCATTTTGTTTAGTTCTTTTTCTGGAGTTTTCTCCTGTTCTTTCTTTTGGGACGCATTGCTTTGTTTCCTCATTTTGGCTGCCTCTATGTGTTTATCTCTGTGTATTAGGTAGATTTGATATGTCTCCCAGTCTTGGCCAGGTGGCCTTACATAGTAGGTGTCCTATGGGGCCCAGTGGTACAGTCTCCCTGGTCACCTGAGCCGGGTGCTCCAGAGGTGTCCCTTGTGTGGCTTGTGTGTTCCCTCCTGTTATAGTTGAGCCTTGGTTGCTATTGGCATGCCAGTGAGGGATATTGACCCTCAGGTTAACTGGCTGTGGGGTTTGGCCATGTCTACAGCTTATAGGCTGCTATGAGGGAGGCTTACCCCACTGAGTGTGGTTTACCCCAGCGGGTTCTGGTGCCTGTTGAGACTGCCCTTTGTGTGTACTGCTTGTGGGGCTAATTGAGTGGTGCTTTGCTGTGGTTTGAAGCCAACCTCCAAGTTGTAAGCCAACCCCTCCCACATTGACTTAGAGCTTGGCCACGTGACTTGCTTTGGCCAATAAGATATTAGCAAGCCTGAAGCAGGCAGAGATTTGATGAGCATTTGTACCTTAGGGCTTATCCTTTTAGAATACTTCTTCTTGGGATCCAGCTGCCATGTAAAATCTTGAGCTAGACGACTGAATAATTAGATAGATGCCATGTACAGAGAGACCCTAAAGGATGAAAGGTCATCTTGGTATTCCTTTCCAGCCAGTCTCTCAATGAAGCTGAGAGGTGCCAAGTGAGCCCACAGCCACAGTCACACCAACCCACAGATCATGAGAAGTAATAAATCACTACTGTTTTAAGCCCCTGTATTCTGGGGAGGTTTGTTACACACCAGTGAATAGCTGAAACAATGACAAGCTAAGGTTTGAACCCAGTACCACTTGACTTTGAAATCCATGCTCATAGTGTCCCAACACTATGTTCCTTGTCATTGGGAGTAGAATGTCACACCAACACTAGAATATTTACAGGTTGGCCCATAGTAGCAATCAATAAATATTTGTTGAATGAATAAATAAAGGGTGTGGTATGCTACCAGAGTGGTAGGAAAGTCCAGGGACTTCAAAGGCAGAATGGCAATAACCTTTCAATAACCCTGGCCCCTTTCTGCTACAAATATTCCCAAAACAAAAACAAGCGAGGCATCCCTAAATCTAGGAACAGGTGTGTGGGTGTCAACAAACTCCCCTTCTCTGTCCCTTTCTCTGTTAAATGAAGATCAGGCAAAAGTGAGAAGTTAGCAGAGCTTGGTTTTTATGGTCATCTCCCCTACCCCCAACTCCCCACCATATCACTGACATCTCTCCCTCCCACTGGCTGTCCGGGCCCAACAACACTTTCTCCCTCTTTTCATATAAAATCCACATGCAGGAAAGGAGCAGAGAAGGTAGAAATTACAGAAATGGGGGAGAAAGATTTGAATGTTAATAGTAGCTTCAAAGAAATGAAGCTCTAACCTCAGTGCTTTCAGGAGACATCTGCCAGCAGGTGGGAGAGGTATTCTAAAGAAGGGGAGGCAGCTGGAGGTGTCCCTGTGGATGGGGAATAAAGGAAGTCCCCCTGACTCCAAATTCCTCTGAATCCCCCAAGAAGGTGGGGTCGCTGGCTCTCCACACCTGAGGCTGTGGTCCTACCATGTGTACCTCCCAGAGCAGTCACTCCAGCTTGGTGAAGACCCACAAAAGTCAATGCATTCAGTCCTCTGCTTCCTGGCAGTCCTGACACTGTCCTTTCTGTTCTAAGCTCCCCCTCATCTCCCGCTCCTGCAAATGCACACACCTCCCAAGGTCACATACACATGGCTCCAGCACCTGGATCCCACACCCAGAAAACCATCTGGGCCCCTCGCTGCGGACTCAACCTAGGGAGAGAGCAGGCCCCACTCCTACTCACAGGCAGACGGTGTAAAGTGCACACAGGCGCCGTGGCACACACTCACATGCAAAGCAATGCAGTGGGGCACACGCATCCAGATCACTGTGGGAACAGTCACCGGCAGCGGCACCCGGGATATGAGGAGACAGCTACATGCGGACACACACATGCACACCTTCAGACCATCACACGTGCACACCAGCACGCACACAGACACCCAAACCCTCCCACCCTCAGACACCCGCACAGGTGCCTAGCCAGGCCTGAAGACCAAGTCCCTCCCCCATCTTTCAGAAGCAGGTGGGGAGGGCTGGGGTTTGAGGGCGCGCCTCCTCCTCCCTCCCTAAGGCCCCAGCTCTCCAAGGTCCACAGCCCCAGAGGTTTGGAGCCCGCCCCGCCCCCCAACCTGGCTCGGGGAGCGACTGGCGAGGGGGTGGGGGATGGGAAGCCTGGTCTCAAATTGTTCTGATTTTAATTCCTTAAATTAACCCCTTCTTTGCCTCTGGCCTGGCCTGGTCCAGCAGCCTCCGGGCCTCCAGAGGGTTGTGGGGGAAGAGGAGGAGGAGGCAGCGGCTGGGGTCCTCCCTGCCTCCTCTCTCCCGGAGCAATCCTGCAGCGCGCCCGCGACTCGCCCTTACCTCTCCACCCCACGGCGAGGCCAGGCCCCGCGGCCCTCGGCCGGGGTGCAGAGGCAGCCCCCGCGTGCCTGGTCCAGATGCAGGGCCGCCTCGGGGCCTCGGATCTCGTCCCCCTCTGCAGCCTCGGGTGGCCGCCGCGGCTTGCGCCCCCGCCTCCCTCTCGGGGCGAGGGCGGCCAAGCCTCCCAGTCAGTCGCAGCGGGAGGGGCCCACAAACCGGGTAGGGGAAGGATGGAGGAGGAGGCGGGAGGAGGGGGCGCGCGGCCGGAGGAAGGGAAGGGAAGAGGGAGGGAGGTAGTGAGGAGGTGGGGCGGAGCCGGCCCCTCCTCCGGGGCGGGCTCTCCTGCGAGCTGGGGAGCGGCAGATGCCACCAGAAGCGGCTGCGCCGGGACCCCACGTTTCCCTCTGAAGGTGGTTTCGATGGGGGAGGGGTCCGCGGCGCCGCCCTGGGGGTGCAGGGACTGCTCGGGCCGCGCTCCTCCTGAGTTCCGTCTTCCCTGTACACTCTCCCTGCTCTGGGCACCTCCGGTTGTGGCCTCTGCTGCCCACCCTTGAGTCGAACCTCTCCGCCCTAACCCCTACCACTCTTGACTGAGCCTCCCCATTCAGGGCAAATCCTGGGGTGGGCAGTTCTATGGGATCGGAAGTGGGAAGACGCGCTGAAGTACTACTCCTGGGATATGCGCCACCGTCCCTAAGTGACTTCGTGGGCTGCCCCCTGGGTTGTGCACTTGGTGACCTCGGGTCACATACGTGGTCTCCACGGAGACTGCTTGGGTCAGTTCCCTCTGGGCATCCCTAGGGAACCAGGGGAGCTGGGAGTGGCTGCGGCCAGGCTGCGTGGGTGTATCTCGCCCTCCAGGGTGCCATCTAGGAGCACATGTCCCCATCACAAATCCAATGCCTGACTCAGAGGTGGGGGAAAAGGGGCAGTGGCCTCTCGCCCTGGCTCCTTCCCACCCAACCCCACCTGGAAGTTGGTTAGGGGAGAAGGCCCTGCCCTTGGCTTAAGCCCTTATCCAGTTGTTGAAGCAGGAAGAACCTGGCAGTCCTAGGCTTGGAGGAAATACACCAAGGGCTGAGTGGGACCTGAGAAATCAAGCCCAGGACAGAGTTGGGGTTTGGATGAGGAAAAGGAGAGATGGCATTTCATGCTAGGAGTAGTGCATGGGCAAAGGCACAGGGACGGGCTTGGGCCGGGATGAGTGCCAAGGCCATGAGTGGCAGTCTGGCTGCAGCAGAGCAGAAATCCAGCATAGCCCCAGGATTCTCCAATAGGCTGATGAGGACTTTCCTTGACCCCATCCTACTTCTGCTAAGGCAGAGGCATTGGGTATTTAGTTTCAGAAAGGATCATTTGTAGATTTGGCAGGTGACTTTTGGAGAGAGGCAAATTTAATAAGGACTGAGGCTGAATAGTGGCCCATCAAGTCAAACTCGCACCTCCCCCACATAGTCTCCTCCTCCCCCAAGTTCCTCAATTTCTTTCCTCCTCCAGAAAGTCTTAGATGAAAGGAATGAGGAATCACTTCTCCTAAGACCTAAATGGTAACAGCTCCTATTAACCAAGTGGCAAGCATTATACTAATCATTTTTCTGCATATTATTCCATCATCCTAATAAACCTATCAGGTAAGTATTATTATTATCCCCACTTTACAGATGGGAAAGCTAAAGTTAAGAGCTCAAAAAATGGCACAGTCAGGACCTGAACTCAAGTTACCAAATTCCAAAATCTGTGGTTAAATACAGTGACTTCCTGCCACCCTTTTGCTGTGTTAATTCCACTGAGCCTTCCCCTGCCAAAATGCAGGTTCCCTAAATCCACATGCTTATGCATACAGCCAAAAATATCCATATATTGTCTTCGTTCTACCTTTGTTCTAGTGATGTTTGTCTGTCCTCACCCTGTGCCTCCTGTGAATATGCAGAAACAATTTGGGGCATACTCCTGTATGCATGTGCTTTTGTGCATGTATGTACACATGCATGTGAATGCAGGTGTATACCTGTGCATATGCACATATGAGCATGCTTGTAAGTGCATGTATGTCCGAATGCATGCATGTGTGTACATGTGGATGTACACTGTGCATGTATGAGTGCACATGTGTATGTATGTGGGTGTGCATGTATTTGTGTATGTGTGTGTGCATGTGTGCATGTGTGCCCATGCTACATTTCACAGACAACAGTTCCTGCTTGGTTGTTATGGGAACCACAGTTCTAAAAATGTTAAACTGAATCCCACTCCATGTGGGCCAGAGAAACAGAGAGAGAGAGAGAGAGAGAGAGAGAGAGAGAGAGAGAGAGAAAGAGAGAGGCAGAGACAGAGAGACAGAGAGAGAGAACTGAATA